TATATATATATATATATATATATATATATATATATATATATATATATATATATATATATATGAAATTATATAAATATATTCTGAATACATATATATAACAAAATCAATCTTATTGACAGAATTATATTTTGCAAGCCAATTGGGGTTAGTTGACATGATGTCTGCTGGTCAGGTATGTGAAAATGTGCAGTATAGCAGGGTAACTGTGGAGCTTGGGCCAGAAACCAGAAGCATCCCACCCCCCACTAGGACAGCAAAGAAAGATTCCACCCCACCCCCTGGGGCAGGTGCAGCAGGATCTTCTATGTGTTTAGGTTGAAAGAAGAGGCCCAGCGTGGCCTTCACTCACATTTGCTTGCTCTGGACGACCATGGTGGCTCTCGTGGAAAGGCCAGATTACAGAGCCCCCCACCACACCCATCACAGATACTGGCAGGGGACACATGGATACCTCCACATGACAAAGGATGGAGGACCTCATCCCAAAATCTTCTCAGCCCTGAACAGGTCCTTAACTTCTGTTGTCCCTAGCTTCCGGGTCATGAAGTCAAGTAACTTTCTAATCTGCATGGTTTGAATTTCCTCTGCTTGCCTAACTGTGTGTTGAACACATTTGCACAAGAAAATTAAGAATGTACAGTTTGAAAGGATTGTAGCCCAGATCAGACTTTGGTTTTTGCCCTTTGTTATTGTTTTTAAGGAATATTTTGGTTAGAAAAAGGATTAACTTACATGAAACTGTAGAAATTACATGACTGCTAGTACTTGCAGAGTTCAAACACTGCGTGTAAATATTTGTGTGTAGGTGAAGCACAGAAAGCTGAAACTGGGCTGGGATGCAGGGTAACCACTGATAAGCCGAGAACCGTCTGCAAAATATCTGCAGCTCGGAAAGTCAGAAAGAGTAAATTCCAGATGTTTGACAGGTATATTGCCCTCCAAGAGTAGGCCAGACATCAGCCACTGATATCTTAGACTACTATGGTTTAAGGACAATTTGAAAGATTACAAATGAGAGACACACATGTATAAATGTATTTTGTTTTGTCTCCAGTTAATTCTTACTGGGATGATTGGCTGGAATTTGTGTTTGGCTTTCATTATAAATGATCATCTTTCTAAAACAATGTGTCCTGGTTTTATTCAAGCAGGACCTTCTCTGGAAAAACCAAGCGACTGTGTTTTTCACATTAAAGCCTCCCTTTCTTACTGTATAGGAACATGTACACCTTAGTTTCCACACTTTGCCTTTAATGGCAGACAAAAACAACATGAATGAATGATAACATAGGGGCCGTATCACAATGAGAAGAAATTCATTCATCTCTTCCAGTTATCTAATCATCTCATCAAATCAGCTTTTTAAAAAATGTTTCCCAAAACTTTCATCCCACTATAACAAGATTCCAAACAGAATCTTCTAAAATGCCTTGTTTGTATTCATTAATATATTATCTATAAGCCACAGGTTTGAAAATCTCAAAGTATAGGCCTACAAATCCTCTTCAGGAACGAAAGGCTTAATGATAAACAGCAATCAATTGACCATTAATAAGTAACATTATATTTAAACTAACACTAGCAAATAGGTGCTCAGCCTGCCGCCACATTCATGAGGAAACCCAGCAAAAATGGCCAGCAGGGGGTGTCAGCCAGAACAACAATGGAAAACCACCCACAGTCTGAGATCAGGAGACAGGAAGGTTCCAAAGGACCACCAGCACAGGGAAAAGGTGACATGAAACAAATTAGCATCCTTTTAGTGAGCAACATGACCTCTGCTGGTACATTGTGGAGTAAAGTAAACACTTTAGTGGGGGGGGCTCCTTGCTTGGGGCAGATGATGGTCATCCCACCCCCTACATGTAATCTGGAGATGGGAAAAAGACACCGTTTCCACCTGAAAACAACATTCCCATCTAAGCCCACTCACCTGCCTGCTGTAACCATGGCAATTGTACAGCACAATACATAACTAACCTCCCTTGCTCCTTTGGCCAGCTGCTGGATCTCTCTTCTCATGCAGAAACACAGACAGCTTCACACCAGGATATCCCAGACACTGGCAGCCTGGAGGTGTTCACTGCCCTTTGGCAGCTCTGTGCCTCACAGCTTTAGCACCTGAGCACTGCGTCAGCTTCTTTGACCAGCTTTGTCCACCACACTCACCAACAGGTCCTTTGATGAAACTCATTTCATGTCAAATAAACCCTTTAGGTCGGATCTAACTCAGCTATTTAGGCAAAGGAAGTTTAAATTGAAACCCATTAGGACATCTTGTTATCCCACTGCACCAGACACTAAAATGACCCCAAAACTCCACAGCAATCATATGAATTGTACTGAGAATGGTGTGACGCTGTTTATGGTCAGCTTCACCGAGGCAGTCCAGGTCATGTCGACCTAGCACCACACGGGGGCGCTGTTCCTATAGACGAGCTGAAGACTGCATTCATGCATTTTACCTAGAGATCCTGTCAGTACATCTGAGCAAGTCTATTCCTTCATATCATAATGGAGAGTCCTCACGCCGCATCTGGGGAATAGAGAGCCGCAGATGCTGACATGTTGCTCTTAGTCTGTCTGGGACCTCGCCCCCGGCTGACGTTCCGACACTGCCTATTTTACAACCTTCTTTACACTAATTTTAATGTTACTAACACATTTTCTTGTCCACTTTAATTCCGTCTTTAAGGGCTACGGAAATTTCCCTTTGGTCATAGGCTAGATGGGGGGAGGGGGCTTTAGCGGAATTTTTTCCTCCACTTAATTTCTTTTACGACAGCTAAAATCAGTTGCACACTTTCCAAGACACTGTTATACGAAGCACTTAAAAGCCATAAAGACCCATCAATGTGATACTGACCGAAACTAATTCTGTATTACATTATGGGGGGTCATGTACATATTACATTATGGGGGATCAAATTTCCCCACAATGTGATAAGAACCTGTTATTTTGACATTGTGCGGACCATCTTTTCGGTCCGCATAAGGGGAAACTCAATTTGATGAAAATCTGCAATCAAAAAACTAGACCTGTTGTATTTTGTTTGGTTACAGTACTTGTGATTAAGGTTAGGTTCTGGTTAGAGATTAAGGTTGTCGTTGTTAGGATTAGGGATTTACCCATACAAATGAATATAGGTAGTCCCTACAATGATAGGAAGATTAACTCTTTGTGTGTGTGTGTGTGTGTGTGTGTGTGTGTGTGCGTGCGCGTTGGAGCGCCCCGCGGGAGGGCGTGTGTGTCCGTGTGTGAGTTGACAGTGGGCGCTGGCTCCAGTATTTACTGGACAGAAGCGACGCGTCGACTCGCTCCAGCGCTGGGACACATCCGCCCGCTAGTTTGGTCCCCGAGGGCCGAGGCTGCAACTTTCAGTTGTTCTTGCAAAGAGACTTTGTTTAAAACCAAAGGGAGGTGCTTCTAAGCAGATAAATTCATTTATGTTCAAATTTGTTCGTTTTCAATAGCATTGCTTGCATATCTTGTGGTCTCTTTTAATGTTTTTATTATGGCTTTTCCTCGTTTTCTGGAGGGACGTTTGGCGTTTTGACTTTACAAACATCAAGCACCTGTTGTGCGTTTAATGTATAGTCACTGTATTAGTTACTACACAATGTATTATTTCCTACATTAAAGTAAACCGAGTAATGCACATCTCCGGCCTTTTATTTTTCACAATTTATTTTGGTGCATTTCACTGCAGGTTCTATAGTCTGAATAACAACATCAGTGAAAAAATAAATGCAAAAATACAATGTCCACTACAATGGACATAAATGAATAGGTCGGGTCTCAGGAGGATATAATTATGTATTAATTTTGCTTATAAAGGTAGCTTTACTTTCAACTATAGCCGGACTGACTCCTTTCCAGTAATGACCCCCGATTTGCGGCCGTAAACATGGTGCTTGGTTCGGTTCGGTCACCCCAACTAAACTTCACCTGGGTCTGTTAAGACTTAACAAGGAAAACATTGGTGATTAAAGCAAACGGACCAAACGCGCAGTTATATTTAAGGCGCATACGGCGTAAACTGTTACTTTATCCATTTTATTGCGAATTAAAATTTTGTAGTTTTTTCCGTCTTTTTACGGGAAACATCTGTGAGTTATACAGCATTTTTACTGCAGCCTGAAGCCGTTTTAAGTGCCGTTTGGCTCATGGGCAGCATGCAGTTATAATGACTCATTATCAAAGTCGCTGCTCGCCTTAAGTTCAACGCATACTTACCCCCATAGTATATTTACCCTCGCGTTCTAGCTCCGTAAATTAGTTATCATGCCGATTTTTCATGATTAAATATTTGAATTTATGCTCTTTTCAGGACTGCAGGATTGTGATATCTAATAACTTTCTTCACGTGAGTATATGCGTATATTTTACACGTTTTCATTAAAGGAAATGACCTGAGTACGACCATATTTTATGATCATATACATACTGATACTTACAAGGTTGCATATTAAACAGGTAACACGAGATTTGTAAATAAATGATGGTTACGGGAGCTGGCTTTGCAGTCATTTTGACAGCAGTACACGAATTTGGTCTGTTCTGCCCTCCTGATTCCTATATCAGGTGATCAGAGGTGGGCGTCCAGCAAAAAATTTCGGCGGAAATAATAGCTATGGCGAACCATGGATCCCCATGGGGACTCTGACTCACCGCACACCCTCGCACCAGCCCACTAACCCGGCACGATATCCCTGGAGAAGCGAGGCTCACACCACGAATCCACCAGAATCTCTGAACAGAAAAAGCGGATGGACAGGTCGAGGCAGTAGCTTAACACGGCTATACAAGGCGCGTTAAGAGTACAACAAATTGCTTTGGTTCTGATGGGGGGAAAGCCTGACAATACAAGGAATAACAATCACTTTCAAATTTACGGTTACTGCCTTCAGTAAAGTTCTTTGATAAACACGCCCCCTGCTGGCCCCTGAAAGACACCAAACGAACCGAACATTAGCTGCTGATACATTTAGAGGTTATTTATGTTAAGCAGCGTCTTTTCCGCCGCGGTACCGCATCAGTTAACATGTCGCTGAGCGGTGGGGCTGTCAGGGGACAGACAATGAGGGATGCGGATCGTCCAGGGCCTCCCACGGATGCTAGGCCGCATGCTGGTTAAAGAAAACTGATACAAAGAGAGGGGCCTGTTGTATAATATTTACTTTTAACTGTTCCATTAATCATCCAGCTGTAAAAATCTTTTAGTCGGGAAAATGGAGGGGGGTTAGAGAGTATTGGATTTTTCTTATTTTTTGTATCCTTGACCACATATGACGGTTATTTCCGTCTGATACTATATAAATTAGACGGGCTTTCCAATTTGTATCCATGTGTTTTATTATATCTTGCTTTTACTGTGACTGATCGTGTACATGATCAATTTACGTTATAGGCTAGTCATATACTGTACAGTACAAAATCTTCGCGTCTAACACAGCCCACTAACAATGAGATCTTGTGTTCACGGGCGAACTCGAGTTCCATTCAGTTTATAGATGCTTAACTCTTAAATACGAGTTAATTATTTGTACCCAATTTTATGCTTCGGGGAAACAATGTTTAAATTTAAACGCCGAATTAGGGGTCTAGTTGCAGCCCAGCATTTCAAAGCGGGACAAGTATTTGATGGCGTTATCTGTGGCTGCTCAGCAGGCCTTCATTGTTAAATAAAGAATTCCCCCGGAGGCGTTGCTATTTAAGTGATTACCTGTTATTAAAATAAATCTAATTTTATATGACCCGATCTGAAACAGAGCCATGTTTCTCTCTGCTCCTAATGAATCTCCTGCGAGTTTATTACGACATTTGTCTCTGATATATTCTTTCCACACAACCAAAGCAAAAGACCGAGCAAATGCCCTCACAAACCGCAGAGAACGTGCCTTATTTAATTCGCAATGGGACGGAGAGTTTAAAAAGTGGCTTCCTTTTCAGATTTAAGCATTTAAAAATAAAAATACTTGTTTCCTTATCATACTAAATATAATAATCGAGCTAAGTCTTAGGCAAAATAAAATGTATTTATTTTTCCAACATCTTTAAGGATTGACAGTTTGGCACCAAACACTGCTCTAAAGTACAGAAAAGGGGTTTGTGTTTTCACACGCATACAGACCAACCATATCGGTTCTGTAAGGCATAATCGTCTTTCCTTCTTCGACTTTTAAATAGGCCTACAGATTAAATGATTAAAACTCGGAAAATGAGCACACTCTTCAATTTCATTGTGAAACAATCCACGGTTCTCAGCTTTTTCAAAAAACGATTGATTCAATAAATAATAATGCAGTTTTTTTTTACAATGGACGGAACAGGGCAGTATTGCTGAAGAAGGTTTAATGTTGTCTATTTTTTCATGTCATGCATCACATTCCTCAAGAATGCATTGGGCCTATTCCAATTTCAACCAATTCCTTCAAAATGTACTCACACAGGTAGGTACAAAATCCTCATAAATTTCATTTTTAAAGCAAAAGATAGAGATCCCGGAGAAAAACAATATTTTCCTGAATGAAAAAGTTTCGGTGAAGTAGGGTAGGTCCTGAGGAAGATAATTTGACTCGCTGTAATACTGTGGTGCAGAGCTGTATAGAAAACGTGGCACCGAGCGTTCAATTTAAATCCAGTCATTTCTCGTCCTTAACGCTCGGCGTTCGTGGGTTCTTCGATAAATCCTTCTGTATCTTCTGACACAGAAGTAAACGATCTGTAAAGTAAGGGAAATGCATTAATGATTCCGTTAATAACGTAGCCAGTATTTTACATATGCAGTATTATCGTTTGGGGAGAGATGCGGATGGCCAGCAGCACAGCACTGCGCACTTAGGAGTTTAACTCAGACACTTTCGAAACAATTAACGAAATCAACGTCAAAAAACGCTTTCTGGTTTTTCTAAAAGATTGAATAAATTCGCGAAAATATTAGAAAATGTAAGTGTTTAATGTCCTTTATTTTAAATCGCATTCTAACATTTGTTTTGTAATATCGATTCTAAAATGTCTTTACTATTAAACAAAGAACGATTCCAGTTTAATAAAATATACCTGCAATCTTACCAAATTCAAGTAGAATTGCTTATTTAGACCATTATATATACGTTATCATTTAAGTAAACATTTAATAGTGAAAACAAGAATCTACCAATAACACACACTTCCTTAATGAATGCCAAGAGTTCGTTCAAGGACATTAATGTGGACTGGATTATTACACGGCACTTAAGCATTAAACAATGCAAGAACTGCGCAAATTATGCTATATTTTCTCTAATTATTATAATGGAAAAACGTGGTCCGTCGTGCAAAACCGGACTACTGTCAAGTAAATTCTTCGTTGCTTTGGAGGCCTATATTTAAATATCCCACAGGCTACATATCGAAAAACGCTGCCATGTAACACAGATTTACAGAGTACCCGGACACCAGGTTTAATATCTTCTCAAAAATATCAGAAATTATCTCATTTTATGTAATTAATTGCAAGGAACTTCAATTAAAATGTAAACTGTACTTAACAGTTTTGAATTGGTACTAAACATTCGACAGCTGACAACGTAACAGATGTTTCAAAGTCGGTGCTGTGCCCTTCACGCATGAAAACATGCAATTACAGATAGAAATTATCCGCAAGAGATATCGCGGTTCATGCTTCTATGTGCAATTCGCGTGCATGGTCTAAATATACTCAGAAATGGACACGGGACGGGAAATAAACCACAAAGTTAGACAGTTGTGACCAGATATCAGTGATTACCCCTTGTTTGGCAGCATGCAGAACATCGTTTTAAAGGCCAAACTTCCACTAATAAATTTCCATATTGATAGTTGAAATATGACACATTCAGCCATTGCGGTAGGACTGTTGTATCACACCTCCATCACTGGGGTGGAGAGGCGTTCCAATTCCACCTCCAGTGTGTGTTATGTGTGCGTGTGTGTGGTGTTGGCATGTTCTCTCCATGTACCTTGGATTTCCTCTGTACGCCCCTAAATAGACGTGAATCTTGATTAATTTGAGTCTCTAGATCGCCCATAGTATGTCTGTGTGAATGCGCCCTACATGGCCTGGCACATCGCCCTATCATGCCCCATGACCTTGACCAACATAAACGGTTAGAAGATTAGAAGAACGTAGTACTCCAGTTGATGTGAGATAACACACCTGTCCACTTATTCGAGTCAGTCTTCACGGCACTGCAATGATTTATTTTCCCCAAAAGCAACCGAAATGTGTTTTTAACTATAATTAACAACAAAGTAACGATAAATGACAGATGGAATCCGTATTCCTGTTTATCTTGATACATCGTCACATTAAATTTTAGAATTATAATTATTACTGCCTTTGGTTAATTATTGTGTTTCTAAGTGTACATGGTTTTTAATAGTTTATTAAACATTTCAGCAAAGACTGTGCGCCTTCCTTTTTTCCCTGCCTGTTCATCCACTGGCAAGTCTTATGTTAACGCATGTTAACTAAACGAAGGACAGTAATATTAAAATAGCACACAAAACAGCAAAGCTAACTCCATTCATCCTGCACATATCCTGTGATGGGGTGGGTTTTAAACTGTGTATTCAGCATCCTCTCTGATAGCCTACTCACTGAGCGTCTCCGACGGCTAATGGGACGCCGACATGGACCAGGCTCCCTCCATCCGCCACACCGAGAAGGCGTAACTGAGCCTTTCGTGAGCCACGTAGCTGCAGCTGGACATCTTGCTGTCCATTTCGTCGCTCTGCAGCACCTGGTACAGGAAGTCTATGTACCTAGAGGCCAGCTTCAGTGTCTGTATCTTGCTGAGCTTATCCGAGGGCAGCGTCGGGATGATCTTCCGCAGGGACGCGAAGGCTTCATTCAGCGACTGTGTCCGCTGCCTCTCTCGGACGTTGGCCAGAATCCGCTGGTTCTGCAGCTCCTCGTAGGAGTGCGTGCGACTCGGACTCGCCTTCTTGGCCCGCTTAATCGAAACGGGGCTGCTGTCCTCGCACTGTTTTTTGCTGGGTCGCCTTTTCCTGCCGAGCCGCTTTTGCTGCCTGTCTCCCTCCTCCTCACTATCCACCGGGGAGACTGGGGAGACCGGGGAGCTGGAACTTTCCTCCATTCCTCTTTTGTAAAGGAAACTCAGGAACGCAGTAAAAACGCGTCTCCACTTTGAATTCGGATTTGGAGATTATTTCAATAATAAAGTCCAGGCAGATTTTAATAAATTGCCGTGTCCTTGCTCCCGTTTATCTGTTATGATGTTCACATCTCAAATGAAATTCTAATCTTACATAACTTTTCGTATGAGGGAAGTTTTTCTCTGTTATTATTTATTTGGAAACTTTATCCCAATTTCAGATACTAAATAGCAGAGTGCACGGAGGAGGTTGTTCACAGCTTCTTGCCATTGGCCCGCCAATAAACAGGAGGGACAAGTCTTAGGTTTCACTAAGTCGCGCACTTTCGTTGTCATGTTTAAAATAAACTGAATAATTGTACAGTTCAGGGAAATGTATATGCCTACATTAACGAAACACGGTAGAACACGCTACTTTAATTGCAACAATTTGCATTTCTAGTAGGCTTAAACTAACCGCAAAAAGCCAGTTAGGTTACATTAATGTAGGCTGAGTTCAATGGTAAATCATTAGCGGAAAAAGCTAGCTTGACTATTTGAATACTTGAGATGGATCTGTAATGACTTATTTTGAAACTGAACGGATTCATCGTTTTAGACGGAATTTGTTTATTGATATGTTAATCATGAAAACCCGAAAGTGGCTGAATGCGGTGCATAGATCGGGTAAACCGACAAATTTGTGGATTTAAATATTGAGTAAACTGCACGTAAAACGCCGCTTTAAGGCCGCCTCCCCACGCAGTTGCACTGGGATTTAATATGATGAAAAAGTTGGCCTTCATGATGGTGACAGATTAGCAACGAAACATATCGCAACCTCTAGTGTCGCAGTTACTGTATACAATTACGCGAGGTGGGGTGTGTGAAGTAATTACTCGTATCACTCAAATCCAGGGGCGTCAGAAGCATTTTGAATGTGAGGGGACACACTGGGGGGGGGGGTCTTGGGACCCTCCCCCAGAATTTTTTTTTTATGAATTAGATGCCATTTCCTGCAAAACCTGGAGTGGTCTTTCAGTGGTATGTGTATTCTCATATCGATCAAGTGGAATGGATTTTTTTCGCGAAGCAATAGAAACAGCGCTGGGCGAACTAATATTTTATGTTAAATGTGGCGGGGGGGTCCAAACGAATAACTATATGAAATGTGAGGGGGACACGTCCCCCTCAGATTTAATGGCGGCGACGCCCATGCTCAAATTACTGAACGTCCGAAATGCCTTAGCATTTTTACTTAATGAAACGACACTGCAGGCAGCGTTTTGGATGAGATGGATGTTAAGCGGAAGCTGGAGTGCATAAACTGCTTACCGTAAAGAAAAGGAGATAGGCCTTAAAAACTTGAATGACCATCGCAAATACAACTTAAACCCACAGCAGACCCAGACGAGGCCATTCAGCATCAATGAGCATAGCCTGACCAGGGTAATGGTCCTGAGAGTTGTCAAACTGTCACGGGCAAACCTTTAACTGCCGTTTAGTATTTAATTAAATGCTGGCCTACAGCATTCAGTACACCTGCCCAGCTAACAAGCGACGTCACCGTGACGTTTTTGGACGTCCGATTTTGGTCCGCCAGGTAACGTTTTAGTCACAACTTTAGGCGGACGTCCGATTGTGGTCTGCCCAGGAACGTTTCATTCACAACGTTAGGCGGACGTCCGATTTTAGTCCGCCAGGTAACATTTTATTCACAACGTTAGGCGGACGTCCGATTTTGGTCCGCCCGGTAAAGTTTCATTTACAATGTTAGGCGGACGTCCGATTTTAGTCCGCCAGGTAACGTTTTAGTCACAACGTTAGGCGGACGTCCGATTTTAGTCCGCCAGGTAATGTTTTATTCACAACGTAAAGCGGACGTCCGATTTTGGTCTGCCCGGTAACGTTTCATTGACAATGTTATGCGGACGTCCGATTTTAGTCTTTGAATCCTTGAAATAAATGTATTTGATCGTTTTCCTGATAGCTATCTTTTTACACAGAGCCACTATATACACAATAGTTTATTTTTTTTACTGCTAATAGTTTGGATCAGGAGTTAGTTATTGTAAAATAATTAATGTACGTGCATGCGGTGATATTTGCATATCTGCACCCTTCTGGCAGTGCGGCCATTGCAGTCGGGTCTCGCACACTACGACAAGAAGTTGTCCGGCTTGGCTGCAGTCAGTTTATATTCTACCCCTGCAGCCGCAGGCAGATCTCGCTCCATGTCACATCAGCTGCAGACAGCCCAAGTCGAACGCACCCAATTTCACACACCACACCTGATAATTCACACGCCGAGAAGCGATAAAGCTCGCGAGACGAGGCGCAGGCCAATAGCTCTGCTTAGCGCATACAACTGTCTTGACCTAGCAACCTATCAGCTAATCAGAAAATAGTGTTGCCATGTCGAGTATGATAATTAAGTATGTAAGCGCGCGCTGTTCTTTATACGCTCTGAATGCGTCCATAGACAATCTGTAAAAGTACACGTATGGGCTGACATTTTGTGCCACTAGAAACTGAATGAATTTTGTATATTTGAATCTGCAGTTATCCGCATTACAAAACTGAATCTGAATTTAATAGTTTGAATCTGAATTCCAGTAACTCGAAATAGCATTTATCCTTACCTCGAAAAATTCAGGGTAACACTTTATAATACTGTTCCGTAGTTAACAGGTAAATATGCAGGAAGTAAGCAGCAACAAAGGAGTAGCGCTTCATTAACACCTAACTTGGTACTATTAACTGTAAGGAGTTATGCTTAATTACTCAATAGGTAATAGTGAATTAATTATTATAGTAGTT